ACTGTGCCAGTAAGAAAACCCATTGCAAAGAGCAGAGAGGACTTTATTTGTGGGGCAGGGAATGGTGGTATGATTTTAAATCATGATTTTCATATGCATGCGTAAGGAGTACAGGGAATTTTATCCTTCATCTTCTATGGCTGGCCATAGATAGGATAAAAGGCTTCCAGTTCTCAGGAGCAAGTATTTCCCTACAACTGGATAATGTATGCTAAGATAACTGGGGGTCTATAGTGCTTTGGGACTTAGTGCATGGATGTACCAGAAGCTAAAACAAAAATAGTCACTGGGATAATTGGAAAGCACAGGAGTTGGGCTTTATGAGAAAAACTGATTGCATTGAGTTCACTTAGGTCACAAAGTACCTCTCTTTAGTAGCAAATGCTGCTTTACTTTCTGACTTCACAGATATAATGCCTGGTGGCTATTGGCCATTTGCAAACAGGCCTCTCCTCAGAGAAAAGGACTGGACCCTCGAGGAAGGAGAAATCTAACCTCAGAACTTGCACAATTTCTAACTATACCTTCATCACCCCAAAAGTAGACACTGCACACATTCTTCTGTCTCTCTTGGTCTTTGGTTCTTCCTCTCACAGCCAGCCCTTCCCAGCTCAGTGCTCCTTTATCCGCAGGCTATTTGTTGCTGTAGTTGCTGCCAACTTGGCTGGTGAGAAGCCAGGCCTGGAGGAAATAGAGGGTCCTGGCAAGAACATGGACTGAGGGCCCCCACCAGGTTAGCTTCCGAGTCCTGCAATGCACTGTGATTCTGTCTCAGTTGGCTTGGGTTGCTATAACAAGACAACCATGGACTGAATGGTTTAAACAACAAACATATTTCTCATCGTTCTGGAGGTTGGGAAGTCTGCCATCAGAGTGCCAGTATGGAGGGAACCCTTCCTTGTTTCCTCATTTGAGGGATTGGGATTGTGAGAGGAAGCGAGCTCTCTCCTCTTTTTATAAGGGGAAGGGAGAGGAGCCTGCACTAATCCAACCTCATGACCTAATTACTTTCCAAATCCCCATATCCAAATAGTATCACATAAAAGAACAGAGTTTTAACATGAATTTTGGGTACCCAAACATTCAGTCCACAGCAGTCTGTATTAAAAAGTGTATGCAATTAGAGGCCATCGTGGGGCTCCCAGGACCTGATTAACGAAAGATGGTACTATCTGGGTATAGCCTGAGAATATGAAAGGGTGATAGGAATAGAGAGTTGGGTAGGGGTGAGGTGCAGAGGCCTTTAGGGGCACGTTTGAAACAGTTCTCCCAGGAAAGCATTCTAAAAATCCTTGGGCTTTCTTTGGATCAAAAAAAGAAAACTTGGCCTTGCCTTCAAACTGTACAGGCATCTTAAAGCTCAGAAGAGGCAAATTTCTCATAGCACCTGCGCCTCCAGGAGTAGAGATTTTGGGGTGACTGAAGCTCTTGGAACAGAAGTCTGTGTAAGATTGGCCTGGCACAGTGGCAACCTGGTTCCTGAGTCAGACAGCTTCCCAGTACAGTGGCTTGCATTGCCAGGGTTGTTCATCCTACTCCATCATCTGTCTCTGGTCCTTCCTTCCACCCCAGCATGGGACATTGTAGGATGAACAGTCTTGCCTTCAGGACTCTTGCCTCAGTGAGGCCTGGCCTCAGTTTAAACCCAGGAGAATGTTGTAAATATTGAATTGGCTCCAGAGTGAAGGAAATATTGGGCTTATACACTGACTTGACTTATACACCCTGACTTCTCTTTTCTTAGGCTTCTGGGTTCCAACCGGAGGTTGCCGGTAACTTCATCTTCTTTTGCATTGATTTCTGTCTCTCATAACCAGATCACACTTCTAGTTACAAAAGGGATAGAGGAAATTCACCACCAGTTTTCCACACAGAAATAGGGGAGGCCTGGAAAGAAAGTTCAGATGCTGGGGTCCAGGAAAAGTGAGCCTGAGGAGGTTGGTGTAGGAAATGTGAGGCCCAGCGGGTGAGAAGCTGCTGAAAGGGAACCCAAGAAGAGGGGGTGGGGACCTAAGCCGAGGCCCGCACACTCACGGCCTGGCGCCTAGGTGGCTGGTGGAATCTGTTACTCTGTTGGGTAGTTGTTCTGTCCTCTGTCAGGTGGCCATGAGTGGAAACTAATCTTCGGGGCCGTTTGTCTTACCTTTGCAGGAAGCACAGCGCATGCACCTTCTCCCAAACTTGCTTTCTTAGCTGGGAGAACCGAGCTGTGGGCTCGAATCCGCTCATGCCCTGGAGATCTGGACCAAGCTCCGACCGAGGCTTAATGGGGAAAGCTGAGATGTACCCAGCAGGGGACTTTGGGTGACAAACTTTTCGGAAAGTCGCCAGATGAAAGTGTGATGCAGGCTTGCGCTCTTTTGGTTGGAGTTCACGGGACTAGGGCTCCAGGTAGCCAAAACAGTGAATTGAGATTCCTCCCCGCCCCACACTCCCCACTGCAGGTTTGCTGTGGACACAGGCTCTGGAAGACCGGCTCCGCGTGGTAGCAGAATGTAGACCAGGGCGGGCGCGACCCTGGCGCATAGCGCCACCCTTTCCTCTCTCAGCGGAGCTACGGAGGAAGGGGGCTTGGCAACTCAGCTCACGGAACAAGCGCAGTGCTGTCTTTCGTGTTGCACTGTTCAGCTTTGGCAGCTTTTTAAAATGGCCCCATACGTAACCCTCTTGTAAAAAAAAAAATTAAAAGTTTAATAGCATCCACCCTACACGCTTATGAGCACCAATGGAGATTTTAAGCCCCGCGCATGTGGGCGCATTCCTCTGCCCGCCCAACCCCCAATCCTCCCACTCCAGTATGGAAGACAGTTGGGCATTGAGGACTGGTTTGCCAAATTCAATCACTGTCCACATCAGCTGGCCACTAGTCTCCTGTTGGTGAGCCCTTGGCTCTTTCTAAGTTCTTGGAATCCAGAAGAGTGTATCTCGCCATCCTCCAGGTTGAGGTAGACTAAAGTCTGAGCAGGTGTCTTTGCCTTCCTGGGTCATCCCTAGGCAAGGATTTGATCCCCAGTTTGGCTCCTGCAGGAGTCAAGAGGGAAACAAAGATGGTTACTTCAGTGCAGGCTGGGCTGCAGAAACCGAGAGAAGGGAGCAAAGTCAGGAGGCTGATATCAGCTCCAGAAACTGGGCCCCAGAGTCCTCTTGATCTCCTGGGTTTAGACAGGGGGCTGATAATGCAGCTGGGGCAGGAACCACTCTTGTCCTCTTTCAGCAGACTCCTAGGGAAAAGGAAAGCGAGAAACAAGCAACTGAATTTGCTTTGGAGAATCTTCATCACTTGAGGAATGGGCTGTGTATTTGCATGGCATGGGGGGACTTACAAATGGCGTTCAGCAGCAGCAATGTGGCTTAAACGCTGACAGCTTTGCCATAGACTGAAGAAGGAACAACACCCAGGTTCAGAACCGTCCTACAATCATCCACCCCAGAAGAAGGTGATTTCAGTCAAGTAGACCATTTTGAGAGATACTGTGACTGTTCTCAATATCTACTTTTAGGGTTGCCTTGTGAGGATCTGCCTACCCACCCTAGTTAAGGGAGAAGTATGTAACTTGAGCCTAGAACAGTGGGGAGGGGATGTGTTCAGCCCTGGACAGTATCTGATATAGTGTGCCCATGTTATGCACATCTATGTGTGACGTCCTCTTTATCACAGTGGTTTTACTACACTTTCCAGGTAACCTTCTGTTTTACAAGTTCTTTGATGTTAAGTACTCTGGCGATGGAAGATTACAAACCTGAAAATTCTATATTCGTTTTATATGCTTTTCATTATTGAGATGGAAAACCTTAAGCAGGTACTCGATAATGGATAAGGCCATTTCTTAGCATCAACCTTGGCTCATTTGAATTGACCTTATCAGTCAATAACACGGGCCGTTTCATAAACCAATGAATAATGTATCATAGCTTAGTTTAAAGTTTCAAATATGTTTTTAGACAGAAACATTCCAAGAATGCAAGTCAGGTGTATTTCCCAGATAAATAACAGTCTGGGGGCGTTGAGTTCAGGGAAATTCTCCGTTCTCGAGGAAACTCTCCGTTCTCAGGTTTCCTAAGGTTGAAATCCAGCGCGCACATCATTAATTATTCGTTGGGGTCGGTCCCTCAGTCAATGGCAGGTCTGAGTAAGCTAAAGCGAGCGGTTAACTAATCCTTCCTGCCATGGGGATCCTGGGGCGAAAGAGGACAACTGGGCGGTCAGTCACACTTGCTGGTGGCCAGCCCCTGCCCCTCTTTCCCTGGTCCGGGCGCAGGGGTGCGTGTGCCCTCACTCTCACGAACACAGACCGAGAGCTTCCCAGAAGGAAAAACAAATTCGTCATAATGTTCAGCGCAGCCGAGAGTTTCCAACAAGAAAGCAGCTCCAGTCGTGGCCTGATGACTCAGGGTGGCGTTTTAAACGCCGAATAAACCCATTCCTTAGCTCTTTAATAAATCGGTAACAACAACAACAGCAACAGCAACAACAATAGCCTTCTCCCCCAGCCGCGCCACACCAAAGGCTTCCCAAGTTGGGCTGCGAATCCCTGTTTGGTTTTCCAACGCCGAAAGCCTTAGAAGCAGTGCGATCTCCTGGCGGGACGCGGTTCTCGAAGGGCTCCCGGGGAGAGGACAAGATAGCAGGGTTTACAGGGCAAAGAGAGGAGAACCTGAAAATCGTGTCCTGGGGGGCAAAAGTGCGTCGCCCAGTCATAAGTGTGCTGTAGAGGTGGGAAAGGACGAGGATCCATTTCCACATTTCAACACCCCCGTTTCTGCAGCTGCCCCTGGAGGACTCAGCTGCTCACGCCGAGCTCCTTTCCACGCGGCTCTGGCCCTAATAGGGGAAGCCGGGTGACCGCGCGACCCGTGAGAAATGCTGGGGCGCGTGGCCCTGGTATGGGCGCACCCAGCGTCCGGGGCGCAGGTTCTCTCAGCCCAGCTTCTCCTCCCACTCACTTGCTCGGATCTCCTCCCTCCTTCACATCCCCCGCCCCCGGGACCGCGAGGCTCCCTCCCCGCACCGGCCAGTGAGTACACAAAGCCGCGGGTGAGGGGAAGCTTCGCAGGCGTGCACGGAGCAGTGAGATCACTGGCGTTATAAATATCCCGGTGCCAGCGCGGAGATCCGCTCGGGTGGCCTCTCTCTCCCCCTCTCCCCTTCTCTTCCCAGAGGCTATGTCCACCCAGTGCGGCGAGGCGAGCAGCGCCAGAGGCACGCAGCCGCAGAGGGGCCACAGAGCCCAGAATCAGCCCTGCAAGATGCACTTAGGACCCCCGCGGCTGGAAGAATGAGCCTGTCCTTCCTCCTCCTCCTCTTCTTCAGCCACCTGATCCTCAACGCCTGGGTTCACGGGGAGAAGCGTCTCGTCCCCAAAGGGCAACTCGGACCCGCTGCCACTGATAGGAACCCTAGAGGCTCTAGCAGCAGACAGAGCAGCAGTAGCGCTATGTCTTCCTCTTCTGCCTCCTCCTCCCCCGCAGCTTCTCTGGGCAGCCAAGGAAGTGGCTTGGAGCAGAGCAGTTTCCAGTGGAGCCCCTCGGGGCGCCGGACCGGCAGCCTCTACTGCAGAGTAGGCATCGGTTTCCATCTGCAGATCTACCCGGATGGCAAAGTCAACGGCTCCCACGAAGCCAATATGTTAAGTAAGTTACTCGCTCTCCTACAAAACCCGTCCTAGGCGGGTAGCGGAAGATTTGGGAGGGACAGCAGGTATTTCCCGGGCCACAGGCGCACCTTCCTGAGCCCAGGCCACTGGGACCAACTGATACTCAGAAACAGCCGGGCGGGTTGGGTGGAGATGCATCTATATGGCGTTCGCACACGCACCCCTCTCCTGGTCATGAGGAATTGCGATTTCTGAGGTGTATGTTACCTAGAGGCTGGTGCCCAGACGGGTACCTTGTTTCCAGTTTGCCCTAGCCTCAAAGACGAGTCTCCAGCCATGACGAGAGAGAACAAAAAATCTCATTGCTTCTCGTTCAATTTGTTTACCTTCTGCTTATGAACTAGCCTGGCATTTTTCATTAGGCATCAAAGTGCAGCCCTTCTCCCTATCCATAACTGAAGTTATTTTTTAAAAAGAAGAATCAAATCCCAAATACTTGCCTCTTCCAACCGCTACCATAAACCTCAAATTAATATTGTATATGTATATGCATATATGTATATATGTATGTATACAATGTATACACATAGGTATATAGAGACACAAGATATAGATAGATAGATAGATAGATAGATAGAGATAGATAGATAGATAGATAGATAGATAGATAGATAGATAGATGACAGACAGATAGATAACTAGGGGACACCAGACAGACATTCCTGCTTGGAAGAAGATTGTGCTCTGGAAAACTGGACACGTTTAGAGAGGGAGACGTGATGAACATTGAAATTACTAACTCCAGAGTTGGATTTAACAACGTTTAGTATCTTGAGACCATGACTACACCGTGTTAGGAGAGTGGCCAGCCTTTGGTTCCCAAGAACAGTTAGGGGAAAGTTCTTTATTTTAGAAGAAACGCAGAGGTTAAATTTGGTAGGGTGCAAATTTTGTAGGACTTTTTATAAACAAAGTTTTAAATTTTCCCTCTGAGTTTTTTTCTTTTAGCATGCGCTCTTTTTTCCTTTCTCATCTCCTCTTCCCTTCCACCCCATCTATGTTTCCAGACCATGGCAGCCACTCGTCTGGTTTCTCTTCACTGCCTCTAGGCAGCTGGGGGCAGAGGCGATTTGGGGCTGTGTGTAGGAGTGGAGAGATCTCTGTGGGGCTTTTGTTCAGTAGGGCCAGATCGCTCTTCCAGCGCGGGTTGGTCCACCAGGCAGAGCTCCAGCCAGGGCCTGTTAGGTACCCAGGGAGAGCGGAAATGTAGCCAGGAGACAGCAGCGCGCACAGTCACCTGTCTTTCAGTGTCAGCCTGGTTGCTCCTAAATGTTCCTAACTTGCTCCATCTCAGACCAGCGACTCCACGGGCCACTGGGCTCCTTCTTACTACACAGGCTCCAGAGGAGCGTGGACGCCACCGGCGGGCTGAAAATTTGGCAGCCAGCAGTCTCCAGAGCGGGGTCGGAGGCGCGCAAGTGGGTAAGGCG